GTTCGCATTCACTTGTAATTTAAAAATTTCCTCTGCATTTCAGTTAGAAGTTGAGGTTTTTCTAGATGTTTTATACTGCTCTGCCGTTTTTTAGGGGACACGCAACACAGGAACATTGTTAGCCGGTAAAGATCTTGCAAACCCTACTGCTTTCATCCGCGCAAGTACTGATATGTTGCGATATCTTGCTCTGAATAATTACGCTGACTTGATCTCTGACGCGCTGTATAAGGCTCTGACTGAGAAAGGCATTCACACTGGAGATATTGGAGGTAACTACTGTGCAACTTTTCTTCGGATACCTTCCAGACTGCTGCTTTTCAGTTTTTTATTTACAACAGTTAAGCCTTTTTTCGCATGAAGTAACGCGATTATTACCAAAGGTAAAAATTATTGGAAATTATTAACTATTGATTTTCAGGCACTGCAAAGACAAGCGAGTTAATTAAAGCCGTTAAGGAGATACTGCTATCAAGTATGAGTGCAAGTTCTTGAATTGCAATGTATTTGTAAGTGTATAATAGCAACTGCAACTTCGCAACTGATTTTTAACATTTACGAACTTGTTTTCTGGAAGCTTTTGCTTGTTATTTTCCTTCTCTCTACTTCATCTTTTGTGCGACTTATTTCCGCACGTAGTTAAAACTTTTATCAGTTAAATTTCCTAAGTTTCCCAATAATATTCAAAATGACAAATCAAACGTTTACGATTAATGTTACCGCTTGTTCAAACTCTTCCAGCCCGTTCCACTGTTCGTGACGTTACACTCTTTGTTTTTATGGTTTTTTAAAAAGCATTTTCTTAGCTCTGACAATGAAATTTTGTTTTTTTACAGCTCGTCTATGTTGCTCACTTCTGTCTTATGCTTAAAAACCATATTTATTGTGAGACAGTGCTGATTTTCAACGAAATGTCATTGAAATTGGCCGTCAGGTCGAATAATCAAGTATATTCATCATGCTAATTGCATTTGTTATTAGCTTGACTGTTAAAATCTTATTTTTTGGAGATGTAGTCAAAAAGTTAAGGAGTAATACGGTATGTTTCCGAGCATCCACGTTTAGGCTTTTGTACTATAGAAATTTTTTTGCGTTGACTATGGAACTCACTTCGTTTAAAATATAGTTAGCAAGCTTTACCGTCTGGCTTTTTTTTTAATGAAAACAATATAATTTACTGATTAGAGGTTATTTGGCGGCTGAAGATTTAATAAATTTGAAAGGTCACAATTTTCTTCTCATCAGTCACAGAAGTTTTGCGCTTTGGAGCTTGGTTTTGGCGTTTCCCAATTTTAGTCGTACTGCGGAAGTGGGGAGCTGACTTACGAAGCTGATAGTTACGAGCCGTCGATAATCAGCTGTGATGAGTTTAACTGCAATTTCTTGTGCCCTTTCAGTAATCAGACGGACTGGAGACGGTAGCAGATAGGGAGGTGCACATATTGAGTAAGGTGAAGGGAAGGAAGTAAAGTCGTGTCAAAGTGAGTTTCCCGCATGGGAAGCTGCGAAACTTAGTGGGCATATTTTTGACTCAACTTGGGACTGTGTTGAGACATCTGGAAATTAAGTTGCGGCTGGAAAAAGTTCGTTATTAGTTGCGTCGCATATGCTATGGAGACTGCGAATTTAGAATATTTTTCGTGTGTTGAATGACTGTTTGGTTCTATACAGTTTGTGTCATACCTCACAGTGATGTTCGTTGCTAGAATCGGTAATCGCCGCTAACTCTTTTAGTTGTTGTATTCGGAAGTGCAGCTGTAACCGGTAAATGTTAGGTATTTGTGCCGGCTTTTATTTATTTTTGATAGATTTATTTGGGAGTCTCCGTCACATACCAGTCGCGCATCTCAGTTCTGAATGAAGAAGCGTTTTTGTCATAAGTTCCGGTCAATGTTTTCAGTAAGCGTTAACATCGGCTTTAGAGCGGCGTAGCTGTTTGGTTTGGGACTATTCCCGATAACCGCAAAGAGAGGCTGAAGTAAGGGAGAATTTGTGAATAATGATTTGAAGCGATTTACTGTAACAAAACGAATATGAATTTGATATAAAGCTTTTTTTTGGCATGTGGATGTTAAAGAGGTGACAGAAGCACGAAAATAGCAGTAATATGTAGTAATTAACAGTAACTGAAATGTTGCACATTGTATATAAATTAGGTTATAGGGTGGTTTCACCCCTTCCATTAATAATCTTTCTTTTCTACCCATGAGCAGTCTCTTTGATAGTCCGCAAATGGTTTTTTTGTACAAAACATTCATTTTCTCAAGCTGTTTTATCGGCGTACGCAGGTGAATTGGTAGTTTAAGGCGCAACCTCTTTCGTCTCTTTCTGTTACCTGAAATCATACGTTAATTCCTAGTTGCGTTTTGGTGTATAACAGTCAGAATAAAACCCAATCAAGTTGGTGTATTGTGCTTAATTTATCCTTTCTCGCTCTTCTTGACTTCATCTTTTGCTTTTGTTTTAGTTCGAAGTATGGATTGGTATGCATCTGGCTGTCAAAATTTACCATCATATTTCTTCTCATGTTTCCTCTTACATCTCATGTGCTGACCACATTTCTCGTAACCAAGGTTTTTCCCAAACCGTTTCACTGCGATTTGTTTGCATAATTGTACTAATCATGATTCTTATTAATCTTTTTTTGTTATTAGAAAAAACTTACCTAGCAGAATTCATTACACTGTGAAGTTTAGCCAGACTTATTACCTCCACAAAGTTTAACAAGTCAGCAAGCTCCGTAGATTTGTCTCGCAGTATAGTTGTTAAGGAGGGGAGGAATAAAGCTACACAGTATAGAGGGTTTGAAATGTATTTAACTAATTATTCCGTTTTAAAACTGATGTTTGCCTGAGAAGGAAAAGTTATCAAGTGTTAGTGTGGTATAGTGTATCTAAATAATTTGTCATTACTGCTCAAACCATCCATGGAGTTTACTTGAAAAATTAAACATTTGATTACCTCGTACGTACAGCGACATTTCCCGTCGGCTGAGAGACCAGGTTCTTTTGTGGCACAAGAATGGTCGGTAATTGGGGACGGTTTCCCATTAAGATGAGGAATTAAGATTGGACATCCGTATGTAGGGCCTAAAATGTCATCAAACTTTTTGTTTCATTATTTATTGGGTGCAAATACGGGAGGTTAATTTGGTTACCTCTGTATGGAGCCTCCTTAGTGCTTATGACAACCGGTTTGAAGGAAACACGAGAGGAGTTTGTTTTCAGAGGATGAAAGGGAGACTGGAAGCTGAAAATGAAACTGGCTGACGGACTTGTATCTTGAGCTGTTTAGTAAGGACAAATATTCAACTTGCTCTGAACGAGTTAATTGACAACAGTACAGTGTGTGTTAAGAGTTATTTGAAACCATACTGTTTAACTGTAGGCCGTGGAACTTTTTTGTACTTCGTGGTAAGGATAGATGGCGGCTGTGGAGTTGTCCTGAAAAAAAAAGCGTTTGTTTTTTGGTAGTAGTAAAGGTTCATGAGAATTGAGGTCTTTTTTCGTTTCCGCAGTTTAATTTTATATAACAAACAGTTCTAGTTAGTCACGAGAAATCTTTTTTTAGGCCAAGGTGGGGTTGGTTAAGCATTGAAATACATAAATGGATTGAAAACTTTGACTTAAGTGAGCAGAAAACTTATATGTCAAAATGAAGATAGCTAGCGTCAAAATAATGTCTCCGAAAATAAGGAGCTTGTTTGGGTTTGTTCTCAAGAGATACATGCTTAAGAAAGCTAGTGAGCGTGTAAAAAATGCTCTTTTGAAGTAAATAGTGTTACTGCTTTATCATCTTGCAAGCTTCTGTTATTTGAAGGTCTGACAGTACTTACTGCTGGAACCATTTGCCTGTTAGGTAAGGTTCTGAAACCCATTATCTGTTTAGAACATCAGCATTCCGATTTCTTAACAAATCATTTTCATTGTGGAAAGCAGATTTAGATCCGTAAAAAGCTGCTCTTTTCAGAAATGTGACACTTTGCAAGCATTTGTTTGTCAACTTTTATGACACCACAGCAATTTTCTA